ATGGCCTAAATCATGGTTTCTCGAAATGTGGGTCGCTACTTACTCTAAAGTTAGCCGTAGATTTCTCAGAAAATGTTTAAATGTAGTTATATCCACATACAGTTTGGCAAGACAGTGTGTCTGCGGTCGTCACAACTTGATGAAGGAGGATGTGTTGTGTTTCTTTTCATACATCTTGACATTCATCAATAGTTGTAATATGGGAGGTGGCATAAATTGATAGCCGATTGGCGGGGGAAGGCGGTATCAGGAAGTTTGAGAACCTCTCCCTAAATAGATGTAAAACTGTAGAGCAGGATACTGAGTATTCAGTAAGTCACTTGTAACTGTGAACCGAAATACAGTTATAAAATCATTATTGGAGGAGGTCTGTACAGTTACCCATGGGGGGGGGACTTCGGTTATCTTCTACGTTGCATCCGTTGATACTTATTTACTTACTTACTTACTCACTCATGGAGCTGAGCCCTTCTGGAGGAGCCGCCAATTCTGCAGCTACTCAAGAATTTCACAGCATTTTATGGAACCCGAAGGTTCATTACCATGTTCACAAGAGCCCTCCATTGGTCCCTATCCTGAGCCAGATCTATCCAATCCATACCATCCCATCCTCTCTCTCTAAGATCCATTTTAATATTGTTCACCCACCTACGCCTTGGTCTTCCCTGTGGTCTCTTTCCTTCTGGCTTTCCCATCAATATCCTATACGCATTCCTCGTCTCCCCCATTCCTGCTACATGACCTGCCACCTCATCCTCCTTGACTTGATCGTTCTAATTATACTTGGAGAAGAGTACAAGTTATGAAGCTCCTCATTATGCAGTTTTCTCCAACCTCCTGTCACTTCATCTCTCTTCGGTCCAAATATTCTCCTCAACACCCTGTTCTCAAACACCCTCAGTCTCTATTCCTCCCTTAATGTCCGAGACCAAGTTTCACACCCATACAGAACCACATCATCCGTTGATACTTAGAAAGTTAAGTGAAATATAATTCTTAGGTTGGCTTCCCGTCTTCGAATTTTGCTTAGGGGCAACAAACGAAAGAATGCCTGTATTTACGAAATACAACATTCTCCACAGAAGGCATGAGCTTTATAACTTCAACAGTTGTTGCAGCGTTATCACATTACTGCGTAATCCAGAAAGGAAAACATGTGAATATATACATACGAGTACATGTAAGGCAAAGTGCTTAACTAATTAAGCACTACACCATGAAGACTTATGGGGTAGTGAATGTATAGATCCACGTATTCTTGTCCTCGGCACTAGTTGGAGGTGAGCGGTCAGCTTCAATCCCCGTCCGGTTTAACCCCCGGGGAAAGAACCCCCGGTACCCATTGAAGAGGAGGCTGGGTGGGCCCTAGAGCCGCTCTGGACGATATTGAGAAGCGAAAATTCTTGCCCCCACCGGGACTCGAACTCCGACCCCTTAGTCTTCTAGCCCGTTGCCAGTCTCTATACCGACTGCGCTATTCCGGCTCTATAGCTGATTGAACCTTAGCATCATTTCATGTCACTTTAAAACATGCGATTTTTCCTGAATATTCCTGCATGAATTCTAGGATACCAGTGACATGCCTTTAAAGAGCCAGGAGTGCTTATTGTATTTTACATCAAGTTACTGCGAAGGTTCTACATGATGCATATTTGAGCCAGGGTTCTACCATCAGACTCATTTACAATAGGACGTTTCAATTTTAAAGCCACACACGCTCGTAAAATCACACTTGTTTGCTCTTTTGCATGTATCCAATTTCCTGGTGATCATTTATAACAGACGCAGGTTGTACAGCAAGCTAATTAGAATTGCAGTTCAACTGTTGACAAATCCAAAGAACAGTAAAGGTACATTTATTTTCCTTCCAGTTGCTACCAAATTTTCTGAGAGGTAGTGGGTCTGGAACGGGGTCCACTCAGCCTCATGAGGATAACTGAGGAGCTATTTCAAGGAAATAGCGGCTACGGTCTAGAAAACCGAGTTTAACGGCCGTTGGGATCCGTTGCGCTAACCACGCGACACCCTCTATCCGCAAAAGTTGGCACTAACTTCGCCGACAAGCGGCGGTCACTCGGTCGGACTACAAACGACGGAGTTTTTGTATTCAGCTAAATATACAACATACCCAACAATATCCTAATAGAATTACTGTCGCGTGTATTAATAATTTTAGACGGGTGTTTGAATTGGTGAGTCGATTTATTTCATATTCACTAGTCATAAGCACAAACAATTATAATACTTTCAAGATTGCTGTAATTATGACATATAAATGAAATCATCTATACCTACTTGTAACTATTCGTTTCTAGGTAATATGGCTATTCCTCTGCAAAGTTTTCCTATCCGCTTCATGGCAACAGATTTTAACACAGGAACTATAACTGCGACACTCCAGATATCACTGGACTACAGCACACGTAAGTCTTAAAATCCCAAGTGAAGTCCTCACAGGCTGACTACTAATTCTTCTTCAACTGCGAAGTTCCCGTGGCTGACTTCAGCTTTCCAATATACAATATGTAGGAACTCTGCTACTGTCAACACGACAAATATCTCAGTATTACATTAGATCTTTATTTACTGCGACATGTTTCGGTCATGCATGAATATCATCAGGCAGGAACACGTATAGTTATCGAAATAGCGATATGGATTATTATTTGTGTAACGCGTCGTATTATATACTGACATAGAAACTTTGCCTCAGATTGGAGTATAGTTAAAATAGCAAATACATGATTAAGAATAGAAAATAAAAAAGATGTAATAAAGGTTCGCTATATATAAAATGTTGAAATATATGTTTTATGCTTTATATTCCCTGAATATAGAGAAGATATTATCCTCTGAAACGTCGGGCTCAGAGAACTAAACGGCGTTAGAACCGAGACGAACATACTCTTCACAGCCTATTATGTTCTGGGTAATAACACAGTGCAGGTTGGTAGACGGGCACAAATTTTCGTAGAAATATACCGCCTCTATCTTGAAGGTTCCTGCCATGAAGGTGGGACAGTAGTTCTTTTTTTCGAATCGATGGTATCCAACTACCATATAGGGTATATGAACCCCAAACATCACGATATACTGTCACGAATTTCCAGTGAGTAGATTGATTGATTGATTGATTGAATTTGATTGAATTAGATTTATGATCCGATTTATTGGACTCGTTGATACAGCGCGTGACTATTTTACAGTTCACTGTTACACACACGCGCACACACACACACACACCAGTTTCCACAGTCACGTCTTAAATGCCGTTGCTTGGTAGCGGCTTACAGCGGCGGACGTTCCCCTTCCTTCGGGTTCCCGATCTGTCCTCAGCCTCAGCCACTACCTTCTAAGAGCAACAGCTCACAACGACTGAACCGCGAGTGTCCTCTTAACTCACTGACTGACTCCTCGCTAACTGCAACAGCTAACTGGCCCTGCTGATAAAATCTCGGCACGGACCTAGTAGAAAACACCGGTTCCATTATCGCTGTGCAACTGTTGCCGTTACTTAGTAATGGGTGTTGTATAGTTGCTTATTTCGCGGTCGTTGCCTAAGAACGGGTCTACATACTACAATACATTTAAATCTTGTTCTCTCAGCCACTGTCGAACTAATGAGCTAATCCTCAACATTTGGACGTCGCGATCGAGTCCTTAGGACCTCTACTCGGAAAATCCTTGCTTACAATTTCGACCCAGAGAGCGATTACCCTGAGGCTTTTCGTGTCGCATCTGGGTCTTTCTCAGAATATTTTGGGACAGTAACTTAAGGTAACCAGCAGCCGCTTACTTCCAAACTTTTTTTTTCAAAATGAAAAGAACAGTTTACAATTCGAAACTGTAACCTATGTGAAAAAATTGAAAGTTCCATCAAGTGTAACAATTTTAATATGAATAAAACCTTTACTTGTTTTAGCCAGTATGAGGTATCATCCGATGGGCAACATTTCAAAGGAAATACTTTATGTTATGCACATGTTGCTTTAAGGGGGGGGGGGGTTAAAATATCGACATGTTTAGAAAAGCAAAGAATCACAGTTGTTACACTTGATGGAACTGTCTCTTTATTTATACGTTATAAAGTGTAAAGGTTCAAGAAAATTTCTCTTAAAACAGTAAAAAGAATAAAGTTATCCCCGTAAGAGCCTTGAAGGCCCATAGAGTTCTGAGACGTCGATGCTATTATATCTTCTAGACAGTTGGCTTACAGACGGCGGTAAGGTTATCCCCCAGAAAGATTCCTGGTACTCATTTCTGTTAGAGGCTGATTCGACTCCAGGGCCATAGTGCGGCTGGAAGGATTAGGTCAATTGAAAAAAAAAATCCAGCATATCAGGACTCGAGCCCGCGACCTTCCGGCTTGTAGCATAGTGCCTCAACCAACTATGCTACCGCACGCTTCTTAAAGCAGTAGCCTGTGTCTTTGAAAAATATCGTTAAACAAACCCAGAGCCAGTTAATCATACCATTTGGCTACCTACTGGCTAGCATTCCTATTCCAGATTCTGGAGTTTGGGTTCAAGTTTCCACCCGCAGAACGGATATCGGGTTCAGGGATTTTGTGGTATTTCTCAGAACCTCGAGACAAATATCGAGGTGCGGCCATGACGCTTCTATCCACATTATTACAGATACATTACTCACTAAACATCCTGCCATTCAGCACTATGCATAATCTGAGCTACTTACTAAGTCAAATAATTATACTTGAGAAAAGCAAATAGACCCAGGTTCTTACACAAATATTCTGTATCCAATGCATTTTCCCCTTACATCTCTTTTTGTTTGGTTGCCCAAATAATCCTGCAGCTCCTTCTTATGCAATTTCGAGTATAACTAGATATAGCTTTTGTTTCATTTTTCGCAAGTTAAATCCAGTACATTTTCATTACAAGTAAAAAAATATGATGATAATAATACCCTCAGAATTAAGTACGCAAAATAATTATCAAATAAACTTAATACTAAGTGAACATGTTGGGAAAGGTACCTACGCTTTAACTCCGAGTAGATTCGATAGCTCGACTGGCACTGAGGAAAAATCCAATCTCATAAACACTAGGAAAAGAAAAAGCATATTCATAATGACAATTGAAGGTGTCTAGTCACGTCCTTTGTGCCTATAATTGAATCGGTATTTTCAAGTTAATTTTCCCACTATTGTTCTTAGCTTTGTAACTTATTAGAATTCAAAAAAATAACTTCCTACATAACATTGTTTTCTAATCAATTATATTTCTTTCCATTCTTCTAGCTAAGACGTGTTCACTGTAATCAGACTTTTAAACAAGGGCTCATTGTGAAATATTTGCGTATATGATATACGTAATATGGGTCATCAGTCTGCTAAGTAGTTACCAACGTTTCGGAGCAAAATACAGCCCTATCTGCAGGGTGGAAGCTAGAGACTTCTTCTCTGAACATGGAAGCAGTACTCAGAAGGAAAAATATTTTTGTGACTACGCATTTTAAACATGAAAGCAAAACTAAACTCCACAAGCGAACTATACCGACCGAGCGACCGTCGCTTGTCGGCGAAGTTGGTGCCAACTTATGAGGATGGAGGGTGCGGCGTGGTCAGCGCAACGAATCTCCAAGGCTGTTAATCTCGGTTTTCTAGACCGGAGCCGCTATTTCCTTGAAACAGCCCCTAAGTTATCCTGAGGATGCTGAGATGACCCCGTTCCAGGCCCACTACTTCCCAGAAAATCTGGTAGCGCCGGGAATCGAAACCGGGACCACATTAGACCACAGAGAGGGTCGTCATGCCCACTGNGAATCGAACCCGGGACCACTGGATCTGTAGGCAGGAACTCTGACCATTAGACCACAGAGAGGGTCGTCATGCCCACTATTAATTATCTTTGTCAGTAATACAGGGGATGGACAAAAATATGGAAACACCTCGTGAAATGTATGCCTGAATTGAAGTGTTTATTTTAGCGACGTTTGTATGTGACGCTGCCAATCTGCCCAACACCACTACCTGTACAACCTCCGCAGTATGTTGCAAGCTTCATTTGTTGTCGAGACAGTGTTCTGTGCAGTTTTCAGTACATCATGTCAGATCTAACAGAATTGGAACGCGGGCAAATTGTTGAGGCCAGTATGGTGGGTGCTTCCCTAACCAAGGTACCCGAGGTTTTTGGTGTTTCGCGAGGCACAGTATCCAAGATTATGACCGCATACAGGAGGACTGAAAAAAACCGCATCCGATAAACACCAGGATGGGCGGAAATGTGTGTTGAGTGATCGAGACAGACGAACATTGCGTAGGATTGTGACGAAAAACAAGAAGACTACAGCTGCAAAAGTGACTGCTGAACTGAATGTCATGCTCACAGCCCCTGTCAGCACCAAAACAGTATGAAGGGAACTCCACGAGCAGGCTATTTCTGGACGAGCTGCAATTCCAAAGCCACTCATCAGTGATCAAAATGCCACAAAGAGGAGAGTGTGGTGCCGAAGTCTTAAAACCTGGACTGTGGAGCAATGGAAGACGGTCATTTGGTCGGATGAGTCCACCTTCACACTGTTTCCGACTTCTGGCCGAGTTTACGTCTGGAGAACGCCATCCCAAGCTTACGATCCAGATTGTTTGCTGCCAAAAGTGAAACATAGCGGGGGTTCAATCATGGTACGGGCAGCCATATCGTGGTATTCTGTCGGGNTGGCCGAGTTTACGTCTGGAGAACGCCATCCCAAGCTTACGGTCCACATTGTTTGCTGCCAAGAGTGAAATATGGAGACAATTTTTGGCGGCCAGGTCCATCCCATGGTGCAAACTTTGTTCCCTAATGGTGATGCCATTTACCAAGACGACAATGCCCGTGTTCACATAGCTCACATCGTCCAGGACTGGTTTTCTGAGCACGAAGATGAAATGTCACGTCTGCCATGGGCCCCCACAATCGCCAGATATCAATACTATTGAGCCTTTGTGGTCTGTTTTGGAGAGCAATCTTCGTGCGCGCTATCCAGCTCCATCATCGATAACAGAACTTGCGCCATGTTCTTCAGGAAGAATGGTACAAGATTCCCTTGCAAATCATACAGGACCTCTATTTATCCATTCCAAGGAGACTGCAAGCAGTTATGCAAGACAAAGTTTGTCCTACACCATATTAGTCACGGTAATATGTTTTTGTTGGTGTTTCCATATTTTTGTCCATCCCCTGTAGCTCTGTTATGCCTTTATTCTGACCTTGCTATAATTAGCTTTACAAACACTTCATCCTTCTGTGCAACAAGTGCATAACAAGACTGTACAGCGATGCAGAATCCAAAAGAATGAATTTTAATGCTTTCTGCACTCCACTTTGAAAGTGACTTCAAAAACTCTGCCTTTTACAGATGTTAGATAAACGATTTTTCTCATTAACGTATTTCTAAAATTTATATCCCCCTTTTTTCGACGGGAGCATGCGGTAGTGTAGTTTTTGAAGCACTATGCTACAAGCCGGATTCCCGATTCCCGATGACGTTATAGGATTTTCNTGCAATCTGTATAAATACATTTAGCAAATTGTTGTGTTGTGTGAAATGACGTGTGGAGGGGAGCTCATTAGTTCCCCTCCGTATAAGAATAGGTTGGGGCCTGGTGGGAGAAGGGGAGAAACTTAAGCTAAACTTAAAGCTAAACTACTAACTAAGATTTAAGCTAAACTTAAAATTAAACTACTAACTAAGATTATATTATGAATCTGGTGATCAGATCGATTGGCTGGTGTCGTTTGAGGCGCCTTAGGTGTGGTGGTTGTAGTAGTTGAGCTGCAAGTTGGTTGGGGTGTGTATGTAGTCGAGCTCTATATTGGGAGCTCCATTGGCTGATCTCTTCCTTTATTGTGTTGATTTGGAGATCACGCCTGATGATCGAATTTGGGACGTACCATGGCGCGTTGGTTATTAGGCGCAGTACTTTTGACTGGAAGCGTTCCAGTATTTCTATGTTGGAGTTGGATGCCCTCGCCGTTTTACTCCAGGGAAAGAACCACTGGTACCCATTGGATATGTCGTGTAACAAGACCTCGAGGAGCATTCTTGCGATGTCACTTTATTACTACTACAATTCAACGTAACTATAACACAAAATGTTGAACAAGTCTTCTCACAGTCACTCCTTTCGTGTTAACAACTCTAACTACACTGTAGAACTGTCCATTTCTCCGTGCTGGCTAACCACTGACTTCTGTCAACACCACTGCCCTCTGTCGGTCCTCAGCTCTGCTTGTTATACTTCAAATCGGACAAATGGGAAACGTCGCCTCCAGCAGCTCCTCTACTGTTACGTCACGGCGGGGAAGTGTTTACTGGCTCGGAAAATAACACGCAACAACTAGTAGAGCAAACGCATATGCAATCATGGATCATAAGTCAAGGAATTAAAGGGGAAAGAAGTATCAACTCCTAACAGGATACGAGGCTGGGTGGGCCCCACAGCCGGTCTGGACATTGTGAACAACAGAAAAATCTCTTGTCCCTGCCGGGAATAGAAGAGGGCCATATTTTTTTAAGCTTTCTCAAAATTAAAATGACATTTTCAGGCACTGCCGAAAACAGTTACTGGTGACGTAAACCCTAAAAAGTTTTGTTAACACCGTTGCATAACGTCACTACCAAATATTAGTCACGGTATAAATGACAAACGGAACAGATTCCAAAGAGGGGGGGGATATAAATCGTGCCGCCCTGGCCCTAACACTATATATGTATTTATGTGTGTATATACGTATATGAAGTTGTACGTCTGTCTGTATAAATAAATTAATATATGGTTTTGTGTATGATGTGTTTATGAATGTGTGTCATATATTTATAGGACTGTGTGTGTGTGTGTGTGTGTGTGTGTGTGTGTGTGTGCAAGCGAACATTTCAGCAAAATGCTTCTTTTATAAGGAACAAAGTCGAAGTCTTTTGAGTACATGTGCGCACGCGCTCGGATCTGAGATTTGCATGATGCATTTGTACGTGTAGACAGACAGATATAATGAAATTATAGAAACTATTGCTAAATAGAATGCCTGTGTGACTGCCACTCATAAATCCAGGCGCAGTGACTAATGGCATTATGCTTCACTACATACATGACAAATCTCCATCGATATTATGTTCAGAACATAACAGTAATAAGAGAGTCTCTATGGTTCCTCAGCATGGACAACCCTGTTCGATATTATTCTGGGGTCTAGCAATTATATTTGGATATGATGACGATATAGTTTAGCCAATATTTTAATCACTTGAGTTATGTTCATAAGTGCCTGATGATTACATAATTATATGGTCGAAATATGTAGCTCAGTTACGTTTATATTAAACACGTAAGACATTATTATTCCAATACCTATATTCTTTATTGAATATATTCCCATATTACTTGTGTCGACGCTCGTAATATAAGTAATTAACAAGAAAAGCCACCGCATATGACAGCTTGTTTCCGCGGCAACAGATATCACTCACAACAAAGAACTTTTGGAAAGAATATTCTGTATTAGGTTCGCGAATCGTAGGAGACGACGAAAATGGATCCCAGTGCCTGGGAGTATAACAGGGAGGTGTAAATACGGAGACCTGGCCTCCAGGTTTGGGAGGCTCGAATATGAGACAGTAAAATGTGGTCATGAGTCCCACAGGAATCAGACCTGAGAATGACTGCGCTGCCGAGGGCCAGCATGAATTGTAAAAGACAAATCCATCCTCTCTTAAGAGAGAATGTTACATAGGGATTACAACCGCAAGTGTTCAGTTAAAAAATGTGGTCATGTATCTCACAAGGCTTGCTGCAGAGATGAACTGGCTGGCGGTAAACTGCCAGTCGTAAAGAAACTCTGACTCTGACTCTGACTCTGGGACTAAAGCGCTGCTTAGATCAGTAATGACTTATGCTTGTCCCGCCTGGGAATTAGAGACAGATACCTACTTTTTAAAATTGCAGTGCCTTCAAAACAATATTCTCGAAGCCATTGCAAATATTCCAAGGTGTACATCGGTCCGCGATGTGTGCGCGGCTTTTGACACTTCGCATGTATATGGTTATATAACAAAATTATGCAGGCAACAAGCAGAAGTCT